AATTAAAAAGATTTTATTTAGGCCTATCTATGGCCTTCAAAAAGTTGTAACGTCGAAACATGTAGAGTCGTCAACTTTGTGAAGGCCATAGATAGGCCTAAATAAAATCTTTTTAATTGTGTACCAGTTTAACGTTGAATATTATTTATGATTTTATGCTTAGTGTGTATAAATAAAATTTGGAAAAAAATTATATTTAATAAGCATAGTTGTACATAGAATATACACATATACTGATCTCTTAAGAGTCATAGTAACATACCTATCAACATGTTTGTCACATAAGTGTCACGTGAATGTGTACACCCATGTCATATCGTCATTATCTGTCTCTGATGCACCACAATAATATCAAAGTACCATAGATGTGATGTCTCCGACACTTCATGGTGTTATAATGTCTAGAAGATTTCTTTTTGTACTGAAGCACCCATAATAAAGAGCATCACCAACCTCCATTTCCTGTAGAACAAACGAATATGACCCAGGATACTCCCGCGGCCCAGAATAATCTGTGTAGTGCTGCATAGAGAGATGAGGCTGCTGTTGAGAATTTTGTGTAGCCAGCCACGTGATTATAAATCCCGAAGATGGTACTAAGCATCAACATTATGGTCAATATCCATCCGAAGAGTAGCTTAGTCTATAAATAGATCATATCATATTTTGAAAGCCAACAATACTTCTATTACTGCAAATGTAACAATGAATAACTCATGTTTTTGAAAGTTCAAACTCAGCCTTTTAAAAGCTCTCTAAGAATGGTATTAACTTTTGTGTCTGACAAAATACCATAATAGCTGTACAACTTTTAGTGACAGATTAATTAATACCTTCTATCTTTATCATCATTTTCTTTCATAAACTCTAAATGAGTATCCTAAAATTACCCCGAGAAATGGCAGAAGTAATGGAACAGGAAAAAATGACACACGTAATGGAACAGGAAATTACTCTACCAACTGTAAAGGAGCCCTACAAAGTTTGATACACTAACAATTTAGCAGAAGAACATTTTTGAAGCAGCATTAGTTTTTATTTATTTACAAGCCTATCTTCTTCTTAAAGTACACTGATAAATTAGTAGTTTTAATCAATATATATTTAAAGACGTATTCAAAAACCTGTATATATATACACACTAAGGAATGTAAGATTTTATTGATTCTATATGTATACTCTTAGCATCAACATTGAATTTCAAGCTATTTGTTGCATTTAATGCCTCTTCTATATATTTCAGATAATAGAATAACAACTGTTATGATGTAAACGAATTTTACTGGCGAAATAACCATTTGTTTTTTCACAAAAGAATAGTATTAGGCTTATTGTAACTTTAAATACTACACTTTTTATTCTCAGTATTTGTTTTTAGAAAAAAGAGCCTATAATAGTTTGATTGAGATAAAAAGTTGCTTTATTTTTATCTGAAGAGTAAAGGTCTTTTTTTTTCTCTACCTTTATCACCAAAATGTCCAAATCAATCCAGTATGGACGGCAAATTCAGACAAAAAATCACAGCAAAATAATCTATAATAGTGTTTTTTACTACACTCTATCAATCTTATTCATTGCAACAAAACACAACTTGCACTCATGTTTTTGGAAAATTGTTAAAGGACTGAGTAAAGAATATAGTTTTTCAAAATAAAAAACCCAGTACTACTGTTTTATGACAAATATAATTGCCCTGTATGAGATGATAGAGCAACCTTTTACACTAACATGAAATCTTGATAAAAAGGTTACAGCTGGGTGACCAGTTTGCTCAAACTCAGTGAGTACTGTTGAAAAATCAGGGTACAACAGGTGTTCACTACTCTTGTCCTGTGTCTTGCACTGCAAATAGGCATACAAAACAAATACTTTTGACTCTCTTAAGAGTACTCGTAACACACATATGGACAGGGGTTCAGCCAACTAAAAGTTTTCATACATCAGCAAAATATTTAATACGACTAAGACAAGCAAAAGGTGTTCAGTTGGAAACTTAATTATTCTGCTGAAAAGGTCAGGGTTGTTGTCTTAGATGAGGAATGGCTAGTGAGTTGATCGCCTTCTTACTGTCCACTGGCTGTCAATAATGAGATCATGTAGTGTGTTGGTTTTCAGTGAAAGTTTGAACTATGATTTATTTAGATAATGCAATTGTACGAATCTTATAGAAGGACAGTCGTGTGTGGGTTTCTATCTCTGTATTGGCAGTTGCCCTGGAATGTATCTGCACACGTTTGTCTTGTGTAATTTTGGCCAGTCTTCATGTAGGTTTTGTATTTATCTGTATTTACTTAATGGTCATAAGTATTATGGTTGTCTAGTGTCTAAAATTATTGGTTCTGTATATAAACTGTAGCGATGAAGTAGTTTGAGCTGTAGGATTATGGTTGTCTAGTGTCTGAAATTATTTGTTCTGATAGTTTCTCAGCTATTGTAAAAATTGTTGAAACAAACTGAATTTGTGTATAAGTTTAAATTGAATTTTGCTACACCCTACTTGTCATGACTGTCTTGAGAAAATTCAAGGCTGAATCAAAACTAACCAAACCTTCTCGGGAAATAATCGTTTGGAGTTTAAAGATTAATAGGAATGCTAAATAATTTATATTTTATTCTAGTTACTCTCCATGCTTATTTTTGTGTTTAGGCTCTCGAGGTGAAATGACAATTTACATTATTTTTTTTAGTTATTTGACTAACCAAATCACATTTGTAGCCAAACGAATAGTAAAATTAGCTATCACATTTTTAACGTGCCTACATCTGAAACTGTAGAGCACGTTCAACGGCATATAACAGCGTTAGACTTGAACCTTCTAATTCGCAGCCCAGTACGTTAACCACTAAGCCACGCCAAACCTGAGATTCGAATTAATTAAATACATTTAACTTTACTGTACCTATTTTTATATTATGATTCAATTCTTTTCAGAAAGCCTTTGAACTTGACACCTTGAGAGATGAAAAATCGTTTCATTCACTCCAAAAGTAGTCCCCCCCCCCTGGTGGCTCAGTGGTAGTCTGAGGGCTTATAACGCTGAAAATCAATTTCCATATTGACGGTGGGTAGAGGACAAATATAGATAGTCCACTGTGTAACAACAAAAACAAATCTCTGGAGACCAACGAAGATGGGAGATATTTACAGTCTGGAGCAAGTCCAGTGAACAAAGGTGCAGTTAACATTGATTATTTTCTAAGTTGTCCTGGGAGAGATCGTTCTAGGACATCGATGCGATAAGAAACTGAATTGTTTCCTTTACTCCTACATATGATTTTAATATTTTTCATAATGTAATAAGTACAACCAACAAAGCGTAGTATTCTGACTTTTTCGGCAAATCTGGGATGATTTTTAACTCTGAAAATATATATTTGTTTTTATAAATACCTACCGTACTAAGAGTCTTGCCCTGACGTTTATTAATCAGGTAGCCAACTGTGAGGCCAACACAATAGGGCGCAAGGTGGTTCAAGGGATTGAAGTATACCTCATTCGCCAACTGCAATTCAGCTCTAAATAAACGAAAAATTAAAATTCAATATCGATCACTTATTTTGATCACTCGTAGTAATGGCTATTCTAAATGTCCTGCGTCTTTACAATATTACAGACTTACTTGTTAGTGCTGTCTGATTTGATGTAGACTTTCCTTTTGTTGTTAATTTCGATGAAGAATTATCTGCTTCTACTGTCTGCTTTGGTGTGAACTTATCTGCCTGTGCTGTCTTCTTTGACGTAGACTTACCTGATTGTACTATGTTATTTGATGTAACTTACTTGCTCCTGCTGTGTGCTTTGATATAGACTTACCTGCTTGTGCCGTGTTATTTGATGTAGACTTACTTGCTCATGCTGCCTGCTTTGATATAGGCTTAGCTAATTATGCTCTCTTCTTTGAAGTAGATTTACCTGCGTGTGCCGTTTGCTGTTATATTATCGTAGAACATAAGTTTCGTAAGATGCATGAAAGCGATGGACTTTATTATACTGATAAATCTTAACATACTTCGTAAAGCTCAAATCGTTTAGATTAAATTGGAAAAAACATGTTATAAATAGCTATAACTGTATAGTGAAGTGAAACCATTCTTTGGTAGCCATTTCTAGCTGCAATTTTTACAGCTTCTTGACAAAAGTGAAGACAAAGTATTTAGCATGATATTCAATTTTTACTAGTGAACTAAAGGCCGTGTGCGAAAGCTAAACCTAACCAAAGTATTTCGTTTTTCCTGTGCAACATTTCAGAAAATAATGTTTTCTACTTCTTTTTTCCAAATATATTATATTGTATTTGCTTGCTTGCTATTAAGCACGAAGTTACACAACGAGCCATCTGTACTGAGTCCACTGCGAATATCGAAATCTGATTTTTAGCGTTATAAGCCTTCAGACTTACCGGTGAGCCATCTGGAGCTATATTGTTGTATCTTCCAGCTTTATAAATTTCTGTATGGCATTTTCTTTAGAATATATGGAATTTGAAATATATATATATATCTAAAGTTTCTTTAACAAAAAGGATTTTGACAAGTACACAAGTCTTATGGTGTATAATGCCCAACCTTGTGAAGTATGATACAACATGTAATATGTGTGGTATTAATTTATTATAACGCTGGTGGTACTTTTAATCACACGATTCTCTACATAATAGGGATTTCCAGTGGAAAAAAAAGTGCAACAATAGTTATAAGCCGCTCTCATCAGGCTTATGTGGTTGACATGCTGTTGTACTCCTAATTGAATACTGATATTACGCCAGTAAAGAATGATGTAATTAAGATTATTTTTAATGTTATCGGAATTTTCTAAAACGTAAAGCAACTAAAACTTAACAAGGAGATCAGTTGAAGCACGTGCAGTTAAAAAAAAATTAAACAAGCCAGAAGTCTGTACTAGCTTTTTTTTTTCTCTATTTCTGAAAAGAATAGTTAAATTTATTTAAAGAACTATCAGATTTCCCTTTATAAATTATATTATTCAAATAGGTTTTACATTTCTGTTTGGATATTTATGTAATATTATGTATACACAGATGAAGTCAATCACGATTAACTTAAAATGTTTTTCCAGCAATTGAATTATTAGGATATTAAATATTAGCTTTCTCCACACTGGTTGAAGTTTATTGTACAGCTTTCATCGCAAGTTATACAATTATCAAACATTGACTTCACTTATTTCTAAGAAATGACTATGTTTTAACGGGCAAATGCTAATGTCTTCAGTAGTTGTTATTCTTGTTGTGCTTATCATAGTAATTTTAATAAGTTTTATTTACAGTTATTAAAAAACTGTTAAACAAATGCAACCTTCAAATGATAAGATACTCACTGTCTGTTTAAAATAGGGAAAAACATAGTCGGAGGATAATGACGGATCGCTGTGATCAATCCGCTGAAGGTTACAGACACAAGGATCAAAACACAGTTTATCATCATCCCTTTCGCCGCATTCCTGAAACAAAACACACTTTCTGAACATATTCCGTTGGACGTTTAAAACGTATTGTGTAATAGATGGCTGATTGGATTACTTCACCTTCATGCAGGACGTGTCAGAGAAATTCGTAATAATAGAATCTTCACACCCTTAAAGCCTTTGTATAATACATAGAAAGTCGGAACAGGTACTCCCATATTCAATATAGGGGCTCCAACTCGCACCCCCTTATTTCGCTAATTATATATGTACCCCAACTTGGAACTCGTTTTTGGTCCAAAATAAGACCCACAAGAAACAGGTGGAGATTGTAAAGTTAATTTGATAATTATAAATAAAGTCGAATACATAACGCGAATATAATTTAGTTAAATTTAGACAGTCATGTAACTGATTATTAACTTTTTACACTAATTTCACATGTAGTTTTATGATTTTCACGATATACCATCGCTAATCAAAATATGTCATAACTGTTACTCTAATTGTAAAACTTTACTGTAGGAACATGCCCCTAAATCCTTTGTTTTCCCCCTCCTTTAGCAGGAGCACATTATCATGTGTATGTGATAAGTTATTACCTTGCATCACATTTTGGTTTGCTAAATCTCAGATATTTTAAAAACGATAAGTCTAAATAGAATTTTAAATTAAGGCTAGAAAACATTGAAATTTCCAAAAATAAATTAATTTTACAACAATTATATTTTGAAATATATAAAATTTTAAAATATATTTTTTTTATGTTCTCAGGCACTAAATTCTTAGCATGCCTCTTTCACATTTCTCGCCGGAATATATTCAAATGGTGCTTAAGCTAGGTAAGAATTATATTTCATCAATCAACCATGTTGAAGCGTTTTGTTACTCTCTACTGTGACTGACACGTTTTAGTTGGTTGAAACATTGAAAACAAAAAAAAGTGTGTTCAGTTGTGATTAAGAAGGTTTTACTTAATCGTAAAGAAGGCGAAACGTCTTGAAACATTCAAGTTCAGAAGTTTTGATACCACGGTATAGTAATCAGCTGATGTTTTCAAATATCCAGCTTGCCGAAATTTGGTACCTAACATAATGATGATATAATCGTACTAAGTGCATTCTTAAGAAAAGTTATTTTGTTATTACAACATTTGGTACATTCTTGGATCAAAGTAATGACACTCACTATGCATTTAGATGTTTATCATTGGTTTTTTGGAACTAACTGTAATTAATGCAATTAATTGCAGCTTTTTCTTTATCCTTTGATGGAAAGAAAATACTCCATTACATTAACAGTTCATCAACATCCACGACCTTTTAAAGAAATGAAAAGTGTTATTTTTACAAAAACGAGTGTAACATCATTCAAATATTACGACAACAAAAAACTAGTTGTTAATTTTTTCTTTAGCAAAACATTTCTTCTAACAGCAAGATGAAAATTAATTATTTGAATAAAGATGTTAATTTTACAGAAATGGTAGCGTACGCCCACGTTTTCTAAAGGTTGTAAATTTGTTAATGATTCAAAACTGCTGAAAAAAAAATAATGAAAATAATCTTACCTGACCAGAGGAATAAGAACAGTCAAAGAAATGATATGAAAAGCCATATCGTTTCCGATATACCAGGTATGTTCTAAGCACTAAAACGGAAATAAATAAATAAATAAATATATATATTTAGATATCATGTTTCGTTTTACCCCTTTATATAATCAGAAGCAACAAAAGGTTGATTTTGTTCATTGTAAAAGCAGTTACGCGAAAATAATTTTGGTATTAATAAAGAACACCCAATTACATTAACGGATTCTATTCTGAATTCATTAACTAATAGAAATGTAATAATTTCAGTTGTTAAAAGGTGACTTACTAACAAGCGATTGCGGATCATCCCTTTAGCTTAGTTAGTACAGCATTTGCCTGGCATCCGAGAGGTTTAGCGTTAAAATAGAAAACAAGGAAATACACACACATACATACTCACATACACACACACACACACATATATATACACGTTCAGCGACAACATTGCCAGATGTTCTAGATTCAAATATTTATTTGAAGAAATCAGTATTACGATGAAAACAATTTTAGAAGGCTTAGACGGACTTCAGTAATAGGAGACAAAATCAAATTTGTATAATAATATAGAACAACCAGAGGTCACTTAGATTTTGTACACACATTATTCTATGTTTGTTTGTTTTTCACGATGTATGTTTGTATTCTTTATTTAATATTAATATTTCCTAGCACTTTTAACAGCTGAAATTATTACATTCTTGCCCTCTCACAACAAGGCACATCCTTGGGCCTAATTTCAGGGTCGTGGTATTCTTCTTTTCACGATATATGTATATTTTAATGTATATAAGTTCAAAATTTATTGAAATTTGACATCAATTGTATAAAAGTTTTGTATTATTTTGCCAATGTATCTACATCAAGGTGTTTTTTATTCCAATACCAGCTTCTAGGTCATTTAGCATTGTTGTCTATTCACATAATTAAGTCTAGTCTATTTGACATTGTTGTTTATTCTAATCCTTAGCTCATCTGTCATTGTTGTCATCTAATACTCAAATCAAGGCATCTTATATTGTTGTTTATTCTTATAATTAGGCCTAGACCACCTAGCATCGTTGCTTATTCTAATACTCACGTCTAGTCTCTTTGACGTTGTTGTTTATTCCAGTGTTTCCTAAGTTTTTTCAGCTCGCGGCACACTTTTAATATCCCAAACGTTTTGCGACACTTGTAAATAAGTCCATATGGCAGGCCTAGTGGTACCCCCCCCCCCCGACTATTACAGGCAGAAATTACTGTTATACTGTGTAATTAAGGAGAAAATAAATCAAAATTTCAAATTTAAACATGTATTAAATTAATAGTAAATTTACATTACTAAGTAAGAAATTACTTAATAATTGTAGAAATTCCGCGGCACACCTAAGACCTTTCCGCGGCACGCAGTTTGGGAAGCACTAGTTTATTCTAATACTTAGGCCATCTGTCATCATTCTTTAATCTAATATTTAAATCTAGACTTTTGACATTGTTGTTTATTCAGATAGTCGAGTCTCAAAAACACAAAGATGTTGTTTATTTTATCACTTTAATCTAAGCGTTTAACATTGTTATCTATTTTGATTTTAATATCTAAACAACACAAACGTACATTCCAGCTTAGACCACCTGGTAGTCATTATATTTTGCAATTCGAGTGTACAGCACGTAGGGGGAGTTCAGGGATTCGGCCGGATCCCCTATGTTTGTGATGTAAAAAAATAATGCCACTAAGTTCGCATCTGCTCTCCGCCGGTTGAATAATTACCTGAGGTGTACCCAAATCGAAGAAAGATACTGCTATCAACATTGAAAGTGTATGTAAGTTATTTATTGAAAAGCACACCACAAGAATGGAGCATGCTAACATGTTATTTTAGTAGTGCATACATGTACGTATATGATAGCCAATGGTTGAAATAGCTAATATACTATTGTCGTACAGAGTTGTTTAAATTAGTAATATAACTTAACAATTAATAACTACTCTGCATATAGATAGTACAGTACTATAATCAAGCACACATGTTTATGCTAATTTAAGTCTAGCTCACCATGCTGTGTTACAACAGAATGATGATTTGTTGGCTTTTCATTAGATGTTTGTGGATTTTATGTGAACAACCTTGCAATTGTTTAAGCTATATTTCATGCAAAATTGCTTCCAGATTTAATTTAATATCAACTATTTTAAACAAATTTCTTTGCAAGCCGATTGTATCTCGCACAATATCTGTTAGATTTTGATCATACGAATTAGAAAGAACCTTTCAAACACTCTGCGAACGGACTTGTACAGTTAAATATCTAATAACATTGTTTTATTTAATACTCATTAGAGTACTTGATGTTGTTGTTTATTGAAAACTCGACCTTAGATTACCCGAAGCAGATTACTTTTAAATTCAAGTGTTGACAAATTTGTTCACCCAAATAATTAAATCTTAATATTGTTTATTGTAACACTTAATTATAGACCATTAGACAAGATTGCTTTTACAGAGGTGTATTTTTTGTTGCTTTTTTTTAACCATTCATTTAAAATATTTATTAATTTTTGTATTTTTTGGAGAAAGTCTCTAAGATATAAAATAATTGAAAATCAAATTGTCGAGTGCTACACATATGCTTTAAGTCTAGTACTAAATCTAACAAATGAAATGTGAAATGTATGTAATGTATTTTCCATTTTTAAGCTTAAAATAAAATAATTTACTTTACATTAACGACACTTTCATGCTAGGATTATTTAATCCACCTTTGGTTGAGTGTGAATATAGTTTTGAAGGTACAAAAGGTTGATCCACCAATGTTGACGACAGCCAGCCACCTGGTGATCTACTACTTCGTGCCATATAGGTCCTGAACCTAGAAGCGGGAACAACTGTACGAGGCCAATAAGCAAAAGCACTGGTGGGGTAAGCCTGGGTAAGAAAACGAAAACTCTACCAGAATATACCTTAGGGATCTATTTAATCGTCATTAACTGAATAATTTTTATACCTTTATCGTTGAATCTCTCTTTTTTTTAGAACTAAATAACAAATAGATGTAATTTACTTTACCTCCAGTATCTGTGGAAAATAAAAAGCGGGATGTTGAGCTTGTATCTAGGTTTTCCCATCACATTCATCATTACGTAACAAGTCAGAAGTCCGCTGCGGAAAATAAGTGTGAAGTCAATTTACATTTGTAAGATGATATGAATAATTTTTCTCATCCTCTGGACACATTTCCAATTGAAAATACCGATTAATTAAAGCACATACGTATACGTAATACATTCCTTAATTTTATTTTTAGACATACTTCTTTTAAATAGTTTTTGTTTCAAAAAATAATGGTCAAAAACTAATGCACTTAGTATCAGCATCGTTTTCTTTTGAGTTGGTTATTTGAGCGAAATCATTTGGAAAAAAAATAGTCCTTCATATCTTTTTTCGATATACTGCTTTAGCTGCTTCAGTTAATATTAAACTGTCTATATACAATTTGAAGTAAATAAGTTAATGTTACCAGTAGATTTTGTAATTCACAGGTATTACACAGAACTGCTTAACCGAAAATAATCTTGTTTCTCCGAATGTTTGAATAGAATCAAGTAGGCTCGGTTAATAATAATGGATATTTTTTTATTACATTCAACAGTTCTTATCAAGATAGTGCCATGTAATAAAATAAGCTGAGAAAATTATTATAATAAAAATTATACTTAGAAACGTGTAGAGGACATTAAAATGTCAAGAGCCCATTGACAAAAAAAGGGCACTTTTCAAGTATCATAATGCAAGGTTTTTATTTGGAGGGGGAGGGGCGTTAGGGAAAACTATTGGGACTGTGGATTGCCTCTGGTACACATAGAGTAAAAACCAAACAGATCCTATTTTATTTCTATACAACCGGTCTTATAATACTAATTAAAACCTAAAACTAAACAGTGCATTATTGTGTATTAACATTTAATAATATATCATAATTCTATATATATATATATTTTTTTTTACTGTAAAGATCTATAAGTTCCTTTGTGCCATTTATTTTAAAGTTGAAATCTATTTTCGCTAATAAGTCACAGCAAGCAAGGTGTGGAATCAGTCGTGTCTTTTAGTAGTTGTGAGCAATTTTGATGACTGAGTAAAACGGCACTTTTGGGCATAAGAGCAGAAAGGCTGGGGCTTGACCCTATCCAGCCACTCCTCTGTGCACGTCACTGATTATGTCTATATTAACCTAAAAACTTTTGGCATACATCGTGTATTATCTAAAGGACAACAGGTTATTAGTAATATAAAAATCATTTAACTTTCTGATAAATCTAAAACGTTCTCGAATTTCTAAGTTAATTTTTACCAACCAGAGGGCAATATTATACGTGATAGTTCAAAAATGTCAAAAACTGAATAAATCTTACTTAGTAAATTTATGGGTTTGTTTACGATAAAACTTTAGGTTGTCTAATTACCTGATACAGAAAAAAGTATCTACAGACACAGAAGCGTTCGCCAAGAACTGTCCTTCCACTGATCTCGCTACGTAATCCAGTTTGTAAGAATAACCTGGGTTTCATGAACAACATATCATTGAAGTGATTGTTTGATACAAACATATCTAATGTTCGAGGAATTAAGTTCTATTCGAGTGCACAATTAAATAAACAATGTTTCATTTCTTGAATAAAAAAGAAAAGTCAGAGGATATACAATACTAATTATCAAAGGTTATAAGAATCGCAAATGTTTGCAAAAAATAATAAAAATCGTATAAAGATTGCTACTGTATCATCTTTTTTTACAGATATCTCCAAAGAAAATGCTACAGAGAAAAATTACGTGGGTGATTAAACAAGGTATATTAATGATGATTAAAATGTCCAACCTAAAAGTTATATAATAGATAACAACAAATGACAATAAACGTCAGAATTAAGGTTAAGACATTCATTTCTGTATTAGTACCAGATGCAATATAAGGAAGTTAATTATACTTTTTTTGAAAAAGTAAAAATTTAACTTCCGCGAAATTTTGAGCCCCTCATCAAAAAAAAGTTTATATGTACATGAAACACTAACAATTTTTCCTGTAGCACATATTAAAAATAGTTCAGAACGTGATACTACATTATGCTACTTTAATATGACTGATAAAACCATAGCTAGTGTATCCAAAAAGGACCTACCTTACAATCCACTCAGGAATTTTGAATACTGTGACATTGAGGAGATAAATACATCTTATAATTAAATAGAAACAAGGAGATGTAAATATGGTCTTGTGTAATTCTTGAACATTTAATTTACAGAGAGAGATAAAAACGCAAAGTATTTGTCAGCTGTAGATCTTTTGTTTGGTTTTTAAGCAAGCGAAGTACCAAATGACGAGGTTTTTGTTCTTTCTTCTAACGAAATATAGAAAATGATAATAACAAAGAATTTTTAGAATTTAACAAAAAATACAGAACTAACGGAATATCTGTTTGGAAATATTCGGCTGATAGGTGTGGCCCAACAATATCCAACTAATGGTGAAAAACCGAATACCATGCAACGCCTTCAAGTGGTCAGATGATGTACTAGTGTCCAGCAACTTCTGCCCATTCGTGTACAGAGAAAATGCCAGCAAAATTTTAATCATGGATCCTGCAGGAAAGACAAGAAAAATAAAAAATAAAATCGTATTTTTTTGTCTCTCTCTTCTATTCTTCTGTCAACGTACTTGTAAAATATATAAAAATGCTGATATTCTAAGATCATGTGCGTGTTTTACAATTCTCTGAAAAAAAACGCGTATTCAACAGACACTTTTGATTATTTTCATTTAATACGCATGTAGTTCTTTACGCAGGAACTTACAGACAGCGGTAACATTTCTCTAGCCAAGTACAAAAGAATATTCAAATAATATCAAAATCAATTTTCTGATAATATAATAAAAGCAGTGTATATATCTTGACACAAAGACACTGTGTGGTAACCAGAATTTGAGTTGTAACCAGATTACAATGAAAATTACAGAAAATGTCTTTGTACCGTAAAACGTTTTTGAGTTTCATTTGTAAATGGTACACACAGTCAATAACACTTTTAAATGATTTAAAAGAAGTTCTTCTTAAAGAAACACTTGGCACCTGCTGATAACACGTATGTTTTTTTTTCGGTGTTTCGATAAGACAATGAAGTTATTGTATATGTTTTGTTGTGTAAGTACATAGGGATTAAAATGTGTTATCTCACATTTAGTACGCGTAGTTCACTGCGTAATTATACAAGAGTTAAAATGTAGAATTAGGTGTGTAAATATTTCACTTTTAGCAAATATTATTTCGCTGTGTATATTTCAGCTGTAAAACATTCCTTTTTTGATGTGATATTTTCCAGGATTAAGAAAAATCGAATAGCATGCAGAAAATTATGATGCATAATATTGTATAAGTCGTAAATCAATGAATCAAAATAAAAAGAAAGACTGTTAAAACACTTGATAAATATTCATTTACGTTAGGCTTAGTTAGTAGGATATAAAAACAATAGTTACTTTATATAATATACCATGTTTTACAATGAGCATTTCATTATCACTATAAAGAACAATAAACATGAAACAACTGGTAAATGTTGATTTATGTTGGGCTTAGTTAGTAGAATGTATAAACAATATTAAATTATGAAATATACCGTATTATAAATGAGCAATTCCCGATCTCCATGAATAACAATAGACATAAAACAAAATACAAAATAAAAGAACATATGTAATTTAGCCTAAATATTGAACAATTAGAGTTATTTCTTCTAACAGAAAAAGAGAGCCACAGTTTTAATAGACACTTGTGACGACGTAGAATTTGCATTATTCAACTTGAGTCATTGATTAGTCCTAATTATAACGGCTTTATTCTTCATGATCGTTTCACTGTATCATTACACCAGAAACTTTTCGATACCTAAAATATTGTCCAACGTAATTATTTGTAAGAACATTTTCTTCATATTTTACCAACCAAATTAGCTAATTATGGACATTTTGTTGTCAACTGGTCTCGGAATGAGAGCTACCATTTCATACTGTATATCCTTTAATTCGTGTTACTCGTGTTCGACTCATATCAGAAGAGAGTTTAAAGGGAACTTCCCTATTATGAAAAAATGTTTTAAGGAGTGTTTCATTTTTACATTAATACACGTATTTAATGAGACAATTTGAAGACGTACATAAGACTTACTTTGTGGCATTGGCGAAAATGTGTCAACAGACGATCTGTTCCTGAGTGCCAAATCTATCACTGTGCCTGTGCCAACCAACCAGCACACAAGAAGAAGCATCATACTAATAAAAAAAATCAAACAAACTAATCAGTGCACCCAACACTAAGATGTGTTAGCTCCAAGTACTTTGAGTAAATTATTGTATATTTTAAATATTTTACTTTAATGAACAAGCAAAAAACAGAGCAAGATGTCAATCATTATTCAACACGGTTAGGTGCTTTAAATCATTATGTTTCAAACGTTGTAATTCTTTGCTCTTTATTTCTGGTTTTGACAGGACAGCTATCGAAACAATGGTGAAACTTAAGTTCGTAACTACACATGATATTGTACAAGAGTTCTACTAGATAAACTTATCCCTCGGTGGACTTGTATCGCTAAAATTCAGAGTTCGATTTCCCCGCGACGGACAGAGCATTGATAGCTCATTGTGTAGCTTTGTGTTAAAGCGACAACTATCTAATTAACATTTTGTTAGTTATTAGAATAATAACATTTAGAAGATTAAGACTAATACTAATTAAGGCTAATACCGTAGAAAGAAAAGGTTTGAAACGTCTTTGTTTACTGCATATTTTTTTTAAGTATTACGATATCAGCATCCAAAAATATCAAGTCTTACACAAAGAACGAATTTTTGCCACATTTAACCAATTCTTTATTTATCAATTTCTCCTACACTGATGATCACGAGAACATTTATCTTCAAATTTCAACATAAATGTACTCACAGGTCACATAGGAACTACAATGCAACTGTTTTAAGAAACCATTTTAAATATCTAGCGTTCATATAGGAACTATGATGTTACTATTTTAAATACCTAAAAGCCATACAGGAACTATGATGTCACTATTTGAAATGTCTAGCGATCATATAAGAACTATGATGACACTATTTTAAATATTTAGCAGTTATATGGGAACTACGATGTCACTATTTTAAATGTTTAGCGATCATATAGGAAATACGATATCACTATTTTAAATGTTTAGCGATCACATAGGAACTATGATGTCATTATTTTAAATGTTTAGCGATCATATAGGAACTATGATGTCATTATTTTAAATACCTAGCAGTCATATAGGAACTATAATATATATTAAATATATATATATAATATTAAATATATAATGGTCGTATAAGAACTACGAATTCACTCTTTTAAATACCTAGCGGTCAAAGTTCATCTTTTGTTTCGTCTTTCACTCTAGTTCACACTCACAATATCAAAATAGAACAACATAGGACCTAATTAAAGACGTAAAAAATCACAAGTTCCCTAAATTCCGAAAAAAAAACGCTTAAAAATATTGTCTGTTCCAATCTGAATTTCTTTATCAGATGTATTGTGCAACCTAATTTCGTCCAATAAAAAGCCTCTTTTTTGGAAGTGCAGGACTTTGCAATTATTAATAGAATATCAACTCAATTGGATATGCTTATCATAAAATAAAACCTGAACTCAAACCGGGTTTATTTACCAGACAAAAATCTGCACCCAGTCCAGTCTCCACGGTTTTTTGGTTTCACAGCGAATCACATGAGCTTCGAAGTCCAGGTGTTCTCCAACTAAAATTAGGTTTGTATCGAGAGAGTTTGTTATTATAAGATTTTAATTAATATTTATCGAAGCTGTAGCTGTCAAAACAAGTGAATATTGTGGACTACCGTTACTTAGTACCGTTACAATATTGTATTTCGTTTAAGTAAAAATATTTGGTAACCTACAGACTACACCATAAATGATCTGCAATGATAATATATGCATCTACAATAATTACACAGTATTTACCACATGTGTCTGCCAAACTGGGTTTCTTTGTGAAATGTGAATGAAATTCTCATAATTATCTTTAAGGCGTACTTTATTAATCATCGCAATACAACTTACAATTAAAGTTCATGTTGTTCTAAAAATGTATCCAGAAATACCAATCACCTTAACAAAAGCTGAAACATTTAATGCTATATTCTTAGAACTAAGTTATAAACAGTTGATAAACAATTTTTTTTTCTGGCAAATAAAACTGGTGAATACGTCTTGATTGAATAATTTCAGCTAAATATGTTAATGGATGCCTCCAAATACGGAAACAGGGACAAATTCTGTTCAGAAACGATTAAATGAACGTGGGTTTTGAGGGTATTTCCATTCCTAGAAAATACGGTTAATCCATTTTCAATTATTTCGTAGTAAATCACTTTTAATTTTTATTTAAGTACCTCCGTTAGAAATATATAAGCGGCGTCATTTTAATAATTTATACACATTATAAATTTTCACGAATTTTACAAATGATAAAACTTATAAATAAAAAATAAATAAATATATTGTTACTACAGCGAAAGTCACGTGACGCTGGGAGCATACGTGGTGAATTTCTCGAATAATCGGGGAACTCCGCGAATGTTGGAGACGCCTCTTTGTTAGTATATAAGTCTGGCAGTAAAAAGCCAGGGGATGATAAAGTGAATATTAGTTACGGCGAGTTTCGGGTAATTTACGATTCGGTTTCGAGCTAGTGTGTGTTTTGCACTCGTAGAGAGCAAAGTTATCGAGATTATGAATCACCGTAATTTATAGCGTGTATTATAAAAGTTGTTATGTTTAAAGTGACGAGAAATATACTGACTGTGGAAATACTGTGTACTAAAAATTTGTATCGAGAAAGAACAAACTGGCTTAATCAAGGCTGAAGTTCCTCAGAAAGAATTTCTACCAGAAATTAACAAACAAGCAGATTGGTAACAAATTGGTGTCAGAAAGTGGGTGGAAAAGAAAAAAAAGATGGAACGAGAAGTGGCAAATCAAACTACAGCTTAGCAGATTTGATGGCAGCAATACAAGAACAGCAAAAGAAACAAGAAGAGAGACAACAGCAGTGGCAAGAAAATCTACAACTATGGCAGCTCAAACAGCAAAATAAACAAAATAGATGACAGCAGTTATTGGAGAAAAAAGAGAAACAAGAATGAGAAAAGAAACAAGAAGAGAGGCTACAGCAGTGGTTGGAGGAGAAAGAAAATAAACAAGAAGAGAGACTATAACAGTGGTTGGAGGAGAAAGAAAATGAAAAAGAAGAGAGACTACAGCAGGGACAAGAAAACCAGCACCAGTGGCAACTGGAACAAGAAAGGAAACAAGAAGTACAAATGGAAAATATTAGTGAATTTCAATGTGAATTAAATACATTAAAGGACGATTTACTGTATTTTACACTGGGAGGATATATTAGACATGAACCTAATCAGCCCCAGACAACAGGATGCTCCTTCTAGACCTCGCAGCTAAACCCTAATGCAGACATCTTCAGTCCTGCCAGAAATCACATTTCAGACATGAGTATCAGCAATGGGGTGATCTAGTACGAAGGAAGCCACAGGAAGTAAATAGGAAGGCACCATGGGAAGCATATAGAGCACAATTTGAGCTCCTGGCAGAAATGAATGGATGGACAGAGGAGCAGAAAGCAGTGTACCTGGCAACAAGACTGAAGGGACAACCACTGGGAATACTTGGGCAGTTGTCAGCAGACGACAGACACAACTATAGAGCACTGGTAGCTGCTCTAGAAATCAGGTATGGAACTCAAAATCAGTCCAAAGTCTACAGGGCTAGGTATAGGACGAGAGTCCGTGCTAAAGGGGCGAGCCTGCAAGAGCTGGCACAGGATTTGGAAAGTATGGCACACAAGGCCTACCCAACTGCACCACCCAATGTACACAAGCTGTTGCTGAGGGATCAGTTTGTAGATGCATTGGACAGTCCACAACTGAAGATACAAGTAAAGCAAGCACACCTCTGTACTATGCAGGATGCAATAGCCAGAGCTCTCGAATTTGAATCATACATTAAGTTTAGCACAGAGGTCCTGTCACGTAGACATTATGTGTGCATGCCATTTTACACTTAGCTGTTGGGATTTTCACGATGGAGGTTGTGCGTGTCCCTCAGCACCAACCACTACTGGTTCCCGAAGCTGACTTATTGGTAGTATTCTTCTTACATTGGCTCCTCATATGTCCTTGCTCTCCACAGTTCCAACAACCTTTCTGGGTAGCAGCCTCTCCTGCCATGGCATCTTCCCTGTGTTGAAATTGCCGGCATTGAGCTCTCTTGTGCCCAGGTTTGATACAGTGCCAGCAAAGTCCCTCAAACCTCTCTGAAAGCTGCCCTTTTCTGGCCTGGAATCCTGATGACTGTACCAACCTTGGCAGGAGCTGGATGGCCAAAAGTACAACTTTGTCAAAGATTCTGCATCTCAGCAAACCATTGTGAGTATCAAGGTGCTAGATCACAAAGGAGTACCAGAAGCCATACAGAAGCTCTGTGATGTGACAGGACATTATGCAAGGTTGTGGGGACCAGTCTGGGTAGCTATTGAGTTCATCGGCATAAAGGACAGACAGAAAGTATAGTTGGCCGACATTGAAGACCAATACATATTAGGGTTGGACTACTTACTACCGAGGAAGTGTGTAGTTAACTTTGATAAAATGACGTTTGGGAACAACAAAGGCCAAATTCATGTAAGTGTT